AATTTCCAAATGGCCGCTGCAAGCAGCAAATTGGCACGTCTGTGCATCCCAAGGACAGCCATGTTCATGGTATTTCAGCATCTCTAAATTGCCCGTTGCTGCAGCTTGGCTACATGTGCCTGCGTTCCAAGGACACCATTTTCATGGGCATAGCTCAGAATTTCCAAATGGCCACTTTCGGCCACTGTGGGTTGTGCTAGCATCCCAAGGACATCCATTTTCATGGGCATACTTAGGATTCCCAAATGGCCATTCTCTGCAGCAAGCCGGCATGCCTCTGCATTCCATGTGCAACCATTTTCATGGGCATATCAAGATTCCAATGGCCTTCCGCAGCTTCGAGCATGTCTTTGCATTCCACGGACAGCCATGTTCATGGCATATTTCAGGACTTCCAAATGGCCATTCTCTGCAGCGTAGCAACATGTATATGCATCCCAAGGGCACCCATTTCAGGCATATTTAGGAGTTCCAATGACCATTCTCTGCAGCATGGATACATGTCATTGCATGCCAACAACACCCGTTTTCATGGGCATATTTAAATTTCAAAATGGCCATTTCTCGCGGCATAAAAGGATATATCCATGTTCCATGGACAGCCATTTTCATGGCATATTTGAGGATCTCCAAATGGCCGCATGCTGCCGCATTTTGGCATGTGCGGTATCCCAATTGACCCTTGTCCGGAGCAATTGAAGAACTTGAAGATTCCCCACCCTAGCAGCCGCAGCACAGATGCGGGAGTCATTAATATGCCCTCCGGGTCCAGTTTGCCGATCTGCGCACCAATACTCTGTGCGCGACAAGGAAGAGACAATCGCACTACAGAAAGTATTCGTCTTTGTTGTGGAGCCACGTATCCAAACATAATCAACATCCTTAACCTCTGGAGGCTCCTCCGCAGTGTCACAGTAAGTTGTGTAGAGGTCTTTCATGTTGTGGCTGACAGGTGCCACAAAGGCAAATTGCCCCATGCCCAGAAAAGGGAAAATCTGGTTGACCCAGATATCTTTGTGTAGTAAACAGGAGTCTTCCTGGGCAAACTTGAGATTGGTGGTTGCCTCCTGGACAACTTGATTCATAGTTTTAGTCACCTGTTCCTGCAATGCCAACATATTCTCCAGATCCTTTGCGGCTTGTGTTTTGTTTTTGTCGCTTGTCTTAGACTGGAGCTGTTGCAAGATAATCGAAATTGCTTCTAAAGCATCGTTTCGTGATGTTTGAAATGAACGACTTTGTTGCTTTGCTCGCTTCTGCTGCTCGCATACTGCCATGCTGCCGTCGAGCCTTCTCTTGCCATTGTCTTCGTCCATCGTCAACAAGACCACCTGGTTGTGTGCTGGCTTCGTCTTCGGTCTTCCGCACCACAAAGTTTTGGCCTTCGTGCTTCGGGCGGGCGACCGACGAGAAATGTTAAGGATAGAGCTAAACTCCATGGCGTGGAAATTTGGATCTAGTGTGGCAGCGATCGTGGACATGCCGTGCCGCTACTGGCACCGGTACCGGTACCGGTATGCATAAAACCAACTACACCAACTAACTACGTAGCCAGCGAAACATCAATCACAAGACAATACGACACAGCCCAAACAAGCAAGCAAGCAAACAAACAAACAAACAAACAAACAAACAAACAGGCCAGGATAGAACGACCATGTTAAGCCCTGCAGAGCTTTTGGTTAACCCAGACCGAGTCACAGTAGGAGAAAGAGGGTTGAAAAAACACACCGTGGACGACGAGAGCCACATCAGCAAGGATTTCGGCGACATTGTTCATGATAGAGCGTTCCCCCTGGAGGTCGACGTCGAATTCGAGATGTCAGTAGCCAAGGGTATTTTCAAAAAGAAAACGGTAGATGGCCAGGTTGGCCTACGTCGACGTGGGAGGCTGCAGCGTTCTCCGGGTCACGGACAACCCACCATGCTGTTATTCCTGTTACTTCCAAACACAATCATTGTTGTCGCTCTGACGGTAATGGGGTTAAAAAGAACGTTACAGGAGTTTACATGGGACTGATGGATACTCATCACGAATCCCTAAAACTCTCCTTTCAAGACGCAAACTGGACGTGTGAAACATCGGATGAGATCACTCTGCGCGAGACTACTAGTACTTCCAGCAAGGTCACATGGGAGTACGGTCTCGACAGAGACCTCTTCCACCTGGTCAAGATGACGTTGCGCCGGAGCAGAATGAAACCGTTCGGAATCATCCGACTGAAGACCATCTGCGCACCTCAAAGCCGTCGAAGGCACGCATCACCACAAGAATACTCAGCAAGATTCGGAGCATCTCATCGCGATTGGGCTCTGCCGAGCCCCAACATCCTTTGGTGGATGCTATCAAGGCAAACACCCGAAACACGAACAGTCGCAAGCTCACACAAGCGCTGGAAAAACTGGTGGATGCAGCCGACAACGGCGATGATACTTTAGATGCATGTACAATAGAAGCAATTGTTCATGCCAAGCTTGTGCAGTCCTTTGCAATGTGGCGCATGATGTGCAAAGCCAATCTTGGATGAGGGTGGAATCCAAGCCATTGTCCAGGCTATGGAGAATCATCCGAAAAAACGCTAAAGTTCAGCTTTATGCCTGCGGGGCTATCTGCCATTTGTCCCGTGCCTCATTCCTGAGACCACAAATGCAATCTGCAAGGGCCATTGCGGCTCTTTTATCGGCTCAAATAGCGCACACCAAGGATCATCCTGGTATTCGGGGATACGAGACGGAGGCATTGGGAAACTTGGAGGAGCAAGTCGTCTCTCGTGAAGATCATTGCCTTGGCTTTTGTTGACTGTATCTTCTTCCGATGGGCTGCTGGGTCGACAACGGTACGGTACACTGTATGGATTCGATAGCGGAGATCTTGCAATGGTTGATGGTTGCTCGTCAGGGGACTACTTTTTAGCAATGAGGGGTATATTGCCAATGAGTTGAATCTCCGAATCCGACTCGACTCGGATTACATTATTTCGAATTGGAAGGAGGAGCCGCGGGGAGACAAGCTGAAGCCCATCTGAGGACCAAAGCAGACAGCGATGCAAACTTTGAAGGTAGGATGTACTGGTACCGTAGGGGTACCACAGATGCATTTCCTACCTCCACACGATTATGAGTGTCATTCCCTCCTACCGGTATGACAACGAAGCTGGCGCGCTCCGTGAATCTTCTTCTCGTGCAATTCATTTTCGGTATACTGCCGAGCTGTTCAAGTACTCGGACTTGTCTTTGGCGCCAGCGTGGACAAAGGTCCTCCGGACCATGCAATAGGTTGTTAGCCAAATTTGTATTTCAGTTAGTTCCGTAGCAAGCATGCCCTGAAAAAGTCACACAAAACACTTCTGCTTGAAGTTTTCGAAGTCCAGGGAGATGCGAAAGGACCATGGTCTACGAGTGTGAGGTACCACGTCGAGGCGACACGAAACTACCGGAATTCCTGTACAGGAACACTGTGAGACAAATCACTGACTCTGACAAAACTACTGTATACAGCAAGTGGCTGAATCTTCGATCAAGGGCGTTTGCACTTCGATGGGGTGACCATTGTCGGGACTCCCAAGCATCGGTCGCAGAGTAGCTTTATGTCGGCTCATGCAGGCAGGGATCTCCACTCCTCATTTTTCTTTCTTGACAGAAGATCTCTTTCAGAACCACCCACATGTGGTTGATCACCCTCACACAATTCCCATGGGCTTACGCAAAGCCACCACATTGCTCTTGAACTCCCCAGACGACAGAAAGGCCTTTGACTTTGCCCGTGGCGTTCTCGTTGTCACCAAACACTTGAGAGTTGGGAGCTACAACATCAAGGAAGATGGTACTTTGTTTGATCAACAAGAACGAGAAAGGCGCCAGCTGATGATCTACAGACGATGTACGAAGGTGCTCACATGCCGAGAAGTTATCTTGGCTTTGGATAAACAAATTCCCTGCGACTGCCTAGCTCAAAGCAAGGCGAGGGTGCTGGCACAACCTGAAAAGTACCGTTGTGATCATTGCAAGAAGATCTTGGACAATGAAGCTGTGCAAGTCTGTCCCAATTGCTCCGGCAGCACAAGTACAATCCACTTCCGTGACACCATGTACTGCTCCCGTGAATGTCAGGTTGCTGCATGGCCAGTACACAAGATCTGGTGCAAAACCTATCAGGGAAAGGCCACTTTTGAAGAGTACACTCGTAATATGGAAAGAAAGAATTTTCCCCTTTACCACAGAATCCCCGGGCGGTGAACCCTTACTCGCATTGATCCGAAACAATTCTCTCAGGTCTTTGCTACTAAACCCGTTGTGCTGCCTGCTTAAAATAGCTCGACACACCATCGTACCACGGTCATTGCCTTGTACTGTTACTCGCGTTGCCGTTGCTAACTGGCGTTTGGATACAAGCAATGGTCCGAGGACGGGGCTTCCGCTACATGAACATGTAGTATGGCGGAGGCTGCTTGGAGAACAGCACTAGCAAGTAGTAGTGGCGGTGACTAGCATGCCTTGTCCCTGGTACCGGTTATTTCTGTTTCTTCTCTGGAGCAGCTTCTTGGCCCTCGAGCGAACCTCGAAAGAAGCACACCAAGCAAGCAGCTTGAGCTTTGCAACGTGGTGTTTGGAGATCGTGCCTCGAATAGGACGTTTGGTCACCTCTTTAGGACCGTTCAGCAACGAGCTGGCAATGAAACACCTCGGGGAACTTCTAACAATAATGGATGCGCAACCGTCCACGCCATTACCACCGCTACCAGGTCCTATTCTCTCCGCTGGTCGCTCTTGCTACCCGTCGTTGTCTCTCCAGCCACTGAAGCAATCAAGGAACCAAGCAAAGCAGGCAAGTTAGGTGATCAGGAACACGTGGGTGCTTCGACGGGCTGTTGGTTCGAGCGTGGCCACAGCCAGCTAAGGGAACCAGGACTACATCCTTTCAGAAAGCACAGTCTTGGGGAGGAGGGCAAAACTCACAACAACCCTGCAGCGACCTTGCGAGTATCACCATGGACGAAGTGAACGGGCACTGGGTGCATATCATGTTTCCAAAGATCACGATCAAGGACGAGCCCGTCGGTCCCCAAGCAAGAGGTCACCTCTGCTTCCCGGGTCCAGATACATGTACATGTACCGTAGCGAGGTCGACTTCACGGCCAGTAGGAACGCAACGGTCCGGGTAACGTATGGGTAGGTACGTGGTGGTACAGAGGAACAAAAAGACCAGCCAGGAAAAGCACCAAAACAAAAAACAAAAACAATCCGAACGACTGGGACAGGATTCGAACCTGCGCGCCAATAAGGCAGTGGATTTCAAGTCCACCCGAATAACCACTCTCGCACCCAGTCGCTGCTGTTATAACCTGAGAAATTGACAGTATACAAATGTATTTTTGGATTTTCCGATAACCTACCAAAAGATACCTCAGCCAAGCCGACGACAACAGCTCAACAATGGGGTTCAATGAAGCTGAACAATGGGGTTCAATGAAGCTGCCCAACCAAGTTTCCATCATTTCTCGGGGAAGAACCTAACGGGTTTTACTCTCTAACACACTCCTCCCTAATGGATACCGGTCGATGGGACGAATGGGTATATGTAGTACTGTACTAACTAAACTAAAGCCCACGCAAAGGCGCGAGCGATGCACCATGCCTGCAGCCAGCCACCAAACGAGGCACAGACACCAATATGTTTTCCAAAAGCAACCAAAGGCAAAAGGGAGCGTCATCAGACCATGCAGGAAGTGTTCTTGTGAATTACGCTAGGACTTTCCAGAACACACTTGCTTCTCTCCAATGCATGGCTGAAGCAAGCAAAGCAACCTGCATCCACACGGAGTCAGCCAGCCAGTGCCGTGTCAAAGCAACTTGAAACGAAAAACTCAACGGTACCGATGGATAGCTACAATAATGAAGCACGGTACTGATGTACTAATACCCACTTGCTGTCTTCTTTTTGCAAGAGTGACCAAAAGGCATCTCTGTTTGTTTGTTCCAATCGTACGTGGTGGTAGCTCCTGGACAAAAGAGATCAATGTCTAGACTAGAGCTCGCGCTTCGTCAGAGCCACATGTCACTCACTGGTACCAGTATGGGGTACGGTAGCCACAGCCATTAGTAGTAGCTGCTTGCTTTGTCGTGTATGGTACCGGTATCCACATGCCTGTGTGAGTGGCGAATGAACAACAGCCAACAACATCCATTGTGAGATCAGATGCCCTCTCGGTTGCACAGTGGAGAGGTGACCTACCATTATCGATCCTGCAGCCATTATTATGTATTTGCCAGTCAAAAGCTAACCTTGTTTTGGAGTGGAACCGTCGAGATCGAAGAGCGGTGAAATTGTGATGCCCCAAAAAGCCTTGTAGTGTCAATAAGTAAGGAGAAGAAGGACTTAAATCACTTAACTACGACTGAATGTGATGTTCCCCTATATGTCAGCTTACTTTTATCGCAATTTTACAGCCTTGCCGAATGCCGACTACAATTATCTTTTTGTTCTCCTCGTCATCGCACTAAATGTTCACATGAAGCTGTACTGGTTCCATCAACTCGCGTGCTGTTATTATTACTAGTACAGTAGTGCGGTACAGTATTGCTCTAATTCGTTCATGGCAGTTTTGGTGCAAGCAGCATGGCTCTTGTGGCTCTTGCAAGCAATGTTTTATGGCATGGGCAGAGTATGTAGCGCAACATACTGCATCCAAACATCCGTGATGGCAAGGTTCCGAAAGCCGAAAAAACGGGACTGTGTGGAGAAGGTGGGAGAAGTAGTTGATCGTAGTTTTGGGTCTCTGAATTATAACGGCTGGTTTGGGTGGTTCATGGGTTCGCCAGTCATTGGATGCCTTTTGAGCGTCCCCTGAATTGTACTGTTTAGTGAGTGAAGTATGCCCATGACAATGGCTGTCAATGGGATGGTCAAACCTGTATTGAAGCTGCTGCAGAAGGCCATTTGGAAATATTGAGGTATGCCCATGAACATGGCTGTCCGTGGAACGAAGAGACCTGCCAAATTGCAGCTGAACAAGGTCATTTGGAAATCTTGAAGTATGCCCATGAAAATGGCTGTCCTTGGGATGAGCACATATGCATGGATGCTGCTGAGAGAGGGCATTTGGAAGTGCTGAAATATGCCATGGAAAATGGCTGCTCGTGGAATGAAAATGAATTGTTGGATGTATGTCATGAGCGGGTGACAGGTTGGGTTCAAGACTTTCTCTCTCAGAGGAACGGCTAAAGTTCCTGTACTGGTAGCAAACTGTAAAGTAGTTTTTTACTTATTACGTGTTTGTTTGGTTATCCTTGTCAGTCCAAGGAAAAGGTTCGAAAAATAGTAGCTGTTTACATGTAGCTAGTCTAGCAATTCTGGACAGATGGCATTGTGCTGTTGTTGCTGTTGTCCCTCCAATTCGAATAGGATGGCTAGCCGAATATGCAGCCCATGCCAAGGACCAAACCTTGCCAGACCAATAAAGTCTAGATAGAATCAACCCTACCAACCATCTTGGAGTGCAATATTAGGGTAGCCGTGCTCGCAAGGGTTTCTTGAAGGAACCGGCAAAGGTCAAGGCGGTTTGCGTCAGCGTGATGATGCAGTACCGAGAAAGCTCCATACGATCGATCGATCGATCAGGATCATATCGTGGGTTTCTCCGAACGAAGCGGTCAGAATGGGGCAAGCTTCCCGCACCGTCTTTTTGCCGAGCAGTGTCATCACTTCTTTCGCCCCGTGCGTCCACTGCAATAATCCCGTTGATGATGGCTGATATCGAAGTATCCATCAACAACTTGCGAACGAGGACCAAGGTCTTTTTCGACTCGACGTTGCCCTGGTGTGATTTGCAAAATTGACTGGCATCCATGCCATGCATTGTGTAAGGTTGTCTCAAACGTACCAACCGGTATAATAATGAAACGGACGCAAAGATTCGCGAGTGTTCTCCCATACCGTTCACGTCAGCATACCGTAGGAGCATTGTGGATTGGTAATTATATAGCGTGGTCGAGACTCGACTCGAGTCTAAAAAGCCAAGCCGCTAAACCAATTCTGGTTGAGATGGGAACTATCCAAACGGTGGTGGTGGTGGTGTTGCTGTCCAATGAATGGCTGCTCCTCTGGTGTCCGCTACAGTACCTGGTAGAGCGCATCCTCGTCATCATCGCCACACACAACAAACGGAGGATTTAATTTCAAGCAACTCGCTCGGCAAATTCATTGGTTCATTCTGATAATCTCCACTTGAAGAAAGAAAAGGCTATACTAGTAGTATCGCTTTGATGCTTCAGATAAGACGAATCGAATGTTCAATCGATTGTATCATTCGGCTGTTGGATGGCTCCCGACGGTGTTTTGGTGATGTTTGTGTGATTGTGTGCTTGACGCGCCTTGGTCACCGGTCCCACATTTTTCCACGCCACGATCTTTCGACCGACAGCCCCAAACGGTAGGATACCAGTAACGATCCAGCAACGGCAATACATACATCATCAGAAGCGATCAAGAGTCAAGAGTCTATTACCATACTAGCTAGTGAAGCGGATGGTGTAGCATTGAGAACCAGGTCCTTGGTAAAGGACAGTCACTCGCATCGTTACTTGCTACGGTACTTGCTAGGTAGCTCGCTAGAGTCGAGACCATCTATCTATTATCCAGAGTTCTGTTCTGTCAGTCAGTCTTCCTCTTGTATACCCTTTTCGGAATCAATCGTCAATCATCCATCTGAAGAAGTTTAAAGGAAGAAAGATGAGCTCTACTACTACCATGCCCACCAGCAATGGTGATGATAATAACATGGACGATGATGACGATGATGGCTCTAATAATGTGATTATCTGTTCGTCCGAGTTTCTGACGGACGATGTGGGAGACGAACAAGTCCGTGCACTGGCGGCAGCGTTGGCACCGCAGATTCGTGAATTGGAAAATTTGATGGACGATCCTCTGTTTCGGTCGTCTCATGATGATGATAATGACCATGATAATGATCATCCCGTCAATACGAAAGAGTCTACGCCACAATCACTGAAACCACGTGATTCCAAAGTGGTCATTTCGGACGATGATGAAGACGATGAAGCAGCACAAACTCCCAAGAAACCAAACGCAGCACAACCAGCGGATGATACTACTACTATGATTAGAGATGATGATGATGACAGTGAAGCCATGATGGAAGGATTGGATGACGATGATATGGATCAGGAATTGGAACAATTAGCATTTGCCGAAGATATTTTGAGACGAGAACTCGATTTGGCCAAGGAATTTGCGTCTTTCTTTGGTTCTTCTCCCACACCTAGTTTGTTCTCTGCTTCTCCTGATCCCAGTGGTGCTCTCGCAGGAGGATTCCGCAATATGACTTTGGATTTCACTACCAGTACTACTGCTACATCTGCAGGGATTGCTCCCACCAGTCTATTTCATACCGCCGTCAGTGCACCCGATTTGACCACTGTCAAGTCCAAACCGGTTGTGGTTACCCAAAAAACAGAGGAATCACAGCTACCCATGGATACTACTACTACCAGCAACAACCCACAAGCAATAGTCAGTCCACCTTCCTCTCTGCAGCAGCCTTCAGCAGCAGCAGCAGCTCCCGTCGTCATTCAACAAATGGAAGCCGATTTGGATGGAGATGAAGACGACCCGGACATGCTCGTCGAACAACAAGACGCCAGTACCAAAGAATTGAAAGAAAACAATACATCCTCCAAGTTTGATCCCAAATTGACACAACAGGAAACATTACATTTTGATGCCGAAGCCATGGAACATATTATTAGCAATCATCATCAATCGATTGGAAGT